CCATCAGCAAGGGCATTGAAGATGAAACGTGGCTGGGTCTTTCAGCATGACAATGATCCCAAACACACCGCCCGGGCAACGAAGGAGTGGCTTCGTAAGAAGCATTTCAAGGTCCTGGAGTGGCCTAGCCAGTCTCCAGATCTCAACCCCATAGAAAATCTTTGGAGGGAGTTGAAAGTCTGTGTTGCCCAGCGACAGCCCCAAAACATCACTGCTCTAGAGGAGATCTGCATGGAGGAATGGGCCAGAATACCAGCAACAGTGTGTGAAAACATTGTGAAGACTTACAGAAAACGTTTGAACTGTGTCATTGCCAACAAAGGGTATATAACAAAGTATTGAGAAACTTTTGTTATTGACCAAATACTTATTTTCACCATAATTTGCAAATAAATTCATAAAAATATCCTACAATGTGATTTTCTGGATTTTTCTTTCTCATTTTGTCTGTCATAGTTGACGTGTACCTATGATGAAAATTACATGCCTCTCTCATCTTTTTAAGTGGGAGAACTTGCACAATTGGTGGCTGACTAAAAACTTTTTTTCCCCACTGTATGTCATGCAATAAAATGCAAATGAATTACTTAAAAATCATACAATGTGATTTTCTGGATTTTTGTTTTAGATTCCGTCTCTCACAGTTGAAGTGTACCTATGATAAAAAATTACAGACCTCGACATGCTTTGTAAGTAGGAAAACCTGCAAAATCGGCAGTGTATCAAATACTTGTTCCCACTGTATGCTCCACTCAGAATTGGAAACAATGACAACATTAAACATAATCTGTAATTGATTGCATTGCTTGCCAAATAGCTTTATAGGTAGGAAAGGGAGGGTGAGAAAAGCATTATAGAGTAAAACATGGCCGACAGGGCTTGGTAACCCCAGTTCATCAGTAATCCTGGCATCTTCAACATCTTCCACCTCGTCAACTGATTGTTGAACTGCTCTGCGTATCTGAAAACAGGATGTCACCTCCTTTTTGGTGTCAGTGGTTCATTCCTGAGGTATGCATGAGTGCAGTGCTGGAGGGTGGGAGTTGCTCATACCTGTCACAGAGGGTTTCGCTGACCTGATAGAGACCTAGGGGACAAAGTCTGAACACAACAGTGACAGCTGCTGTGGCCATTATAAAAAGAGTTGAGCGACTGTGTGCCAGTGGAATTATATTTCAGTACATTATAGGTTTCATAGAGATGCTGTAAATGGACAATCTTTGTTAGCATTTGCTTGATTACTATATTACCTATGACCCCAAATAACCCCATTCTTTAGCCGTTGGACTTGGCGCTGAGGCAGTAACAATGAAGTTGAGTAACAGAACAAGTCCTTTGTCTCACTTTCTGACTCTGTGTGCACTCTGTACATTCAGTTATTTTGGTGTCGGATCTCCACAATGTGTGTGTGTGTGTAGAGTGAGAGGTAGTGTGTTTGTGTGTGTGTGTGTGTTAGAATGAGAGTGAGAGTGAGACGTAGTGTGTGTGTGTGTTTGTGTGTTAGAGAGTGAGGGAGAGGGAGAGGTTGTGTGTTTGTGTGTGTGTGTGTGTGTGTGTGTGTGTGTGTGTGTGTGTGTGTGTGTGTGTGTGTGTGTGTGTGTGTGTGTGTGTGTGTGTGTGTGTGAGAACCATATGCGGTGCTATAGCAGGGCAGTGTAGCGTGCAGTGCAGGAGCGAGCAGGGCCTAGCCGGCCCAGTAGAACCCCAGTACTCTGGTAATCCCTGTGTTTTCAGGAGCCCTGGCCCGTACTTGATGAGCTTGGGCAAGAAAAGGGGTAGCGTTCTCTCTAATGCGTTTCTCTCTCTTTCTCTCTGTCCCACTTTCATTCCCCCTATTTTTCTCATACTTCCCCCCCTCCACCCCTGGAGCCGCTTCGCGAATGAATGGGTTCCAAGTGTTTACTCAGCAACTCTCTCTTTCCGATTTCAACTCGTTAGTCATGTCGAGCGAGAGAGGGAGAGGGAAAGCAGTGTCGTCAGGGCACGAGTGGAAAGATGTCGGATGGAGAGAGCCCTCGAGTATAGAAATGGGTTGCGAGGTACTTTCAGCGTTTTCTTGACCTCTTTCCTTCTTTCTCTCTTTCTCTCTTTCTCTCTTTCCCTCTTTCCCTCTTTCCCTCTTTCCCTCTTTCTCTCTTTCTCTCTTGTTTTCCCTTTTCCTCTCTTTCCCTCTTTCTCTCTTTCTCTCTTTCCCTCTCGACCTCTTTCTCTCTTTCCCTCTTTCCCTCTTTCCCTCTCTTGTTTTCCTATTTTTCTCCCAAAGAGAGGAAGAGAGACAGATGTGGTGATGCTAAACGTGTACCCACAGAGAGAGAGAAACAGAGGAGAGATTCTTGTCCTCTTTCTAGCTGTGAAAATTCTAAATGTTGCTGTGGAGTCTGTGAGTTGATGTAGTAAGAACTTCAAAATGGCGTTCAGACATGCTTGGAGATATCTGACACCTTGAGTTCTTCTTAGCTGTACATTAATTATATGCAGAATCTCAAAGGTTTCTTAACAGAACTATCAATATTCATGTTAATGTGTCATATTGTAAATTAGTCAATTGAATAATTAAATTTAGATAAACACTCGCATGTTGCATATACCATACATTTGTTTCTCCCTCACAGTGCCTGGAGTGCACTGGTGCAATGTGTTGGTGAAGGGGCAGACTGTGTGTGTGTGGTCTTGCAACATAATAAGGAGGGGGGGATGAATGAGCCAATTGCATGCTGGGGATGATTAGGTGGCCATGATTGTAAGAGGGCCAGATTGGGAATTTAGCCAGGACACCGGGGTTAACACCCCTACTCTTATGATAAATGCCATGAGATCTTTAGTGACCACAGAGAATCAGGACACCCGTTTAACATCCCATCCGAAAGACGGCACCCTACACAGTTTAGGGGTTAGGTTTAGGGTTAGGGTTACAATTAGGTTTAGGGTTACAATTAGGGTTAGGTTTAGGGTTAGGCATTAGGGTTAGAATTCTGATTAGGGTTAGGGGTTAAGGTTAGGGTTAGGATTAGTGTTAAGGTTAGGGTTAGGGTAAAGGATAGGTTTAGGGTTAGGGGTTAGGGAAAATAGGATTTTGTTTGGAAATACATTTCAGGTCCCCACGAGGATAGAAGAACAGGTGTGTGTGTGTATGTGTGTGTGTGTGTGTGTGTGTGTGTGTGTGTGTGAGTGTATGCGTGTGTGCATATTTGTGTGTGTCTGTGTGTGTGTCTCTGTGTGTGACCGTGTGTGTGTGAGCACTGAGAGGTGGGAGGGTACAGGGATTACAGTGAGGCCGTAGGCCCCAGGGCAGAGGGGCTGTTTCCTGGCCATAGCCCCTGTTTGTCCTGCCTGACCTGGCAGCTCTGGGGGCAGATCCTGCTTGGATACACCCCTGCTCCCACGCCTGTCTGAAGCTGTTAGCCACTGGCTGAGAGTGGCTAGCTGGGCTTAGTGCGTCTGAGCTGGCGGGGGGGGGGACTTTGTGTTGGGAATGCTTAGTGGGGAGGGGAGTGGAGGGGTGTAGAAGGGAGGGCGGTTATGGTTTGATTCACTACACCATTTATTTTATATCAGCCTGTGAGAGAGCGGGTAAATGAGCCCTGTTGGTTTAACCTTTGCTTTGAACACAGTGTCTCGCTGCCCCTCGTTCACACACACTCTGACTGTCCCCCTCTCTCTTTGCCTCTCTCTCACACACACACACACACACACTAACACTGTCACACTCAGATAAACAAACCTTCCGAATATTTTTTTTACTGCCAAAATGTATGTCCTCCATTTGATGCGATTAAAAAAAAAATTTTTAGAAAGCCATTGAAGCTATTTAAGATTAATTGTATGTTGAAAATGTATATCAATATAGTTGTCTTGGAACATTATCTTCTGTGTCTTTTATTGGGTTATTCATGTAACACCCCCAATTTGACAAAATAATCAATTAGGAGGGGTATCATGTGATAATGTTTGAATAGCTTGTCTGTATGGTGACATTGTGCAATATGCTGTTAGTTATTACTACGTTCCAAAACATAACACCTCCCCTCTGCCCTGAGGAAAGTTTGATTATCAATTTCCAAACATCCTTATGAAATGGAGGGATATTTACTTTTCTTCCCCAAAAGCTTTCACAGCCCAATTGCTTGTTTTTAATGGGTTGTTATTATTTTTCAATTGGTGGATTGAGCGTTGGGTTTTGAATCCCATAGAGCAGCTCTGTCCATGTTGTTTCTGGCCTAGATATACACTGCAATCTAGAGCAAACCCACAGAGACTCAGACACATGAAGAGAACAGAGAGGGAGGGAGAGCTCCCTGGTCCTTCAGTTATCACTCACATAATAACTTGTGAGTGGAGCACTTAAACTGACTGTGTATGCTTGTGTCAATTCAACACAATCGCGACATTTTACATTCATACTGTATTTAAATATTTTAGTAGCATCTAACATGTTTGATCGGTTATATGAATGTGATGTTGCCTATATGCATTCCATCTTCAGATTATGTCAAACAAATGTGTTTTGGCTGTTTTAATGTAACTGACATAGGTCACAAGAAAAAATACGAGGATGTGAACATATCTATTAAAAAAGAGGCAAACTTCATCCAACTCTGGGAATAAAATGGTCAAGTATCATTACGTTATTTTTTTACGCTAGAGTTACAGTGCAACTTCCATACCACATATAATTTAGACATGTAGAGGGGACAGTAACCCCCCTTTTCCATCGCCAGTGTCGTCACTCAAGCCCTGGTTTATAAAACTGTCCACGCCACTCACCTGGCAAGAGAGAAAGCTCACTGACCGCGAGGGGGACAGGGACTCAAATTAACATAGAGAGGGATCCTAAACGCACGCACTGTCTCTGTGCAAAACAATAGCCTACATCCCTCTCACTTTATGGTGCCTGCATTTTTTCAGGTGCAATTTGAAAAAACAATTTAATTTCAAGCATACATCAAACATTAGTTTTTATGAATCTTGCAAATTTCTCTTACTTTTCGGGCATGTGTAACATGACGGCTGAGTCCCAGCAGTCGCCAGCCGAGGCGGCCAGCCCGCTGGTCATGTCGCCTAACGTGAGTCTGGACTCCCCGTTACTGCCACCGCCTCTGATGCTGCAGGCCCGGACGAAGGACGGGGTTCTGATCAAGTCTGAGCCCCGGGGAACTAGTCCGAACACGGATCGAGAGGAGGGAGCTGCTCTGGGTCAAACCGAGGAGCACATGCCCACGGGGAGTCGACGGAGGAAGAGGCCCGTTCAGAGAGGGAAACCACCCTACAGTTACATCGCTCTCATAGCCATGGCCATCGCCAACTCCCCCGAGAGAAAACTCACACTTGGTGGTATTTATAAATTCATCATGGAACGTTTTCCCTTTTATCGAGAGAACTCAAAGAAGTGGCAAAACTCCATCCGCCACAACCTCACCCTCAACGACTGCTTTGTCAAGATTCCCCGGGAACCTGGAAGGCCTGGTAAGGGCAACTATTGGACTTTGGACCCCGCCGCTGAAGACATGTTCGACAACGGGAGTTTTCTGCGGAGGAGGAAAAGATTCAAACGCACTGACGTAAGCACCTATCCTGGTTACATGCAAAGCTCTAGTGCGTTCACCCCGACCCCCATGGGCAGACCGGCATACCCCAACAACCTGTACCCAGGAATAGGATCGGGTTACGGATCGCAGCTGGCAGGTTCCCCCCACCCGGGGATGCTGCATCATTATCAGACCTCTGCCGGGGTCAGTCAAGGGCAGCCAAGAATGTTCAGCATCGACAACATCATCAGCCAGCAGTCGGTGATGCAGGGAGGAGAGCTCAACCCGCAGGCCCTGGGGTTAGGCGGTGGAGACCTGGGCACCATGTCAGCTAGCTGCTCCCTCAATGGCACTGACCCCTCCAATTGCTTCCAGACGCAGACTGTCAATCCCTCAGGGAATTCACTGGGCAGAGGCGGTGGGGGACTGTCATCAAACCTGGCACCTGGTTATCCTTACTCTTCCTCGGCATCCCCTCCCCACCTGCCTTCCATGACGCAGTCCAGTTTCTCTCCAGGTACTTCTCAGGTGTACTGCACGGGGAACCGGCTGTCTCTACCGGCCGTGCGCTCCGGGTCTTGCGCCGAACACACTGAGCAACTATTGGGTCTCTCCAGCCCAATGAACTCTTACAACAACTCTTACATGAGACAAGCCAACTTTGCGTCAGGACTAGATCGGTATATGTGAGAAACTGATTTTTATAGAGACAAACAACGATAGAGCCTCAAAATACATTCCATTTGAAATAGGTGTGAAACCTCTTCTTTGTTTGAAATGCCAATATACATTCCATTATAGTTGTGTTCATTTCTCAGTGCTTTTGGTTCGTTTACCTTATGTGTTCTATTAAATTAATATTGTGTACCCTATTTGCGTGTACTTTTTTGTCAGAGAACAATTCCAGTCATTGTCACCTGTCAAAAAGAAGACTTCTTAAACAATATCATTAGCCATATATACTGTTCTATTTTGTGAAATGTAAATAATTTATTTGTTTGTGATTTATGTTGAATAGGCCTACATTGTTATTTACGGTTTTTGGTTCGTGTAATAAATACATTTTTTGATAAGCATGGTCTTGTCGCTTGCATCTGTTGAACTGAATATGTCTATGATCTACACGCACCCCTCTGATTTAAATTAAGCCTACTTTAAATTAATATTTGATTGCTCATTATAATACTTTAAATCCAATTCCCATAAACCGTATGGCCTTTAATGAGTTGTTTTTCCTGTGTACCCAATAGCCTATACATTTATATTAACCACACAAAATATTTACTGATTCATTCAGATATAGGCCTGCAACGGAATTTCCACACTCATTCTGGAATATAGGCTACATACTTCCTTTATAACTTCGTTAATGGTGTTGAAATAATTCGTTTCCCGCGTGTAAATAAAAATGACCAAATCAGGAATAGTGGGCCAAATGTATGGTGTTGAATTAGGCCTACCCAACTGTCTCATCATTTAACCTTTTGTTTTATTACATACTTCTAGGGAAAATAGGCAGTGTTTTATTTGCATGACTGTAAGATCATTTGTATGTGTTGTTATAGTAGCACAGAAACGTCATGCTTTACAGTTATTTGAAGTAATGTCACAGTATAAATGTTCGTTAATCCATGTTTGCGCACACGTTTTGGACTTGACCAAAAAGATCGTAGGCCAAACGAACTTCTTGGTCTAGACATATTAAGGCCTAAATAATATAGTGTTGCTGTTATTGTCAGTTTATGTAGATTTTTTTTGCACAATGTAGCCAAATCTATTGACCACATACAGCCCCCCTCCGCCACACACACATCACAAAACATGAAATACAAATCTCAAAACAGGCATATTTTAAATGACATCTGGTATCATGCTTTTGTTCTTTTTGATTTTACGCGTATTATCGATATTGATTAATGTACTGCATTATTGAGGGAGATGGCACACAATCATTTCGCTGCACCTTTATACCTGCTGTAAACTGTGTACGTGACGAATACAATTAGATTTAATTTGATTTTTTTACAATCTGATGTATTTTATATGCTCTTTGTCCGAAAATGAACACGAGGTGTATAGGCTCACGTGTAGTCCAATGGTAGATAGCATAGCTAATAGGTATATTTGAGTTCTAGGGCCTATCTATGCACAACTTGGCAATGACATAACATACATAAATGTATTTGTAATTGAATCCATACACCTGTGCTATTCTAACTGTACAGTACCTCTGGCGAGTCTGTACATCATTGGTCTGTAGCCTAATAGATTATTGTTTACCTATAGTTGGAGTGACACCTGGCGGTCTCTATGAAAAGTTTGTCTGGAGTGATTTGTGGATTGGAATTGGTGCCGGATTCTACAGTTTGCCCACTAGGTGTCATGCACTACTAACAAGTCACAAACTGAAAATCACAGAGTAGCCTAAAAAGGAAAATAACATATATTAATGTGATGTTGTTGAGTGATATTTTGTTTGTTATGTTTCCGGTCTAAAGTCCAATATGGATGGAAGTCAAATATGTTCTCATCCCTTGAGGAAAATAACATATTTTGAGGCAATAACAAAAAACTTTTAGGCTACCATGTCCACCACTATAAAGGCTGCCTGCACAAATCACCATTTTGTAGTTGGAAGTCCATGGTGGTCCCAAGCAATCCAGACAAAACATGTTTGGCTTATATCCTGCAAAAGCTTTAGGCTACTACAAACTAGTTTTTTATTTCATGTGATTTTGAAATAGACCAAGGCTTATTCCATATAATTAGAATAGAGACCGACTTGAAGCATATCCCTAATATTTTCTCTCAAAACGTCTGATCGAGGTTTTGTCGTGGCATTTAGAATATTAACCAACAGGTGAGCACACCTAGTATCAAGTGCAAGAACTGCCTCCCAAGTCATTTGTTCTTGTCAGTGTTTTTGTCAGCAGTGTCATGGGTCTGGTGGAAATGCAGACCCAGGAGACTGCCAAATCTAAGTCTTGGTTTGGATGATGATCAATTGTAATTGTGCATATATAATCAAAGCAGGGTTGGGTAGGTTACTTTCTAAATGTACTCCCGAGTGGCGCAGTGGTCTAAGGCACTGCATCGCAGTGCTAACTGTGCCACTAGAGATCCTGGTTCGAATCCAGGCTCTGTCGCAGCCGGCCGCGACCGGGAGACTCATGGGCGGCGCACAATTGGCCCAGCGTCGTCCAGGGTAGGGGAGGGAATGGCCGGCAGGGATATAGCTCAGTTGATAGAGCATGGTGTTTGCAACGCCAGGGTTGTGGGTTCGTTTCCCACGGGGGGCCAGTATAAAAAAAAAAAAAAAAAAAATGTAATCACTAACTGTAAGTCGCTCTGGATAAGAGCGTCTGCTAAATGACTAAAAATGTAAATGTAATCCGTTACAGTTACTAGTTACCTGTCCAAAATTGTAATCAGTAATGTAATTTTGGATTACCCAAATTCATTAATGTAATCTGATTACTTTTAGAAATTTTAGAAGAAGACATTTACATTTACATTTTAGTCATTTAGCAGACGTTCTTATACAGAGCGACTTACAGTTAGTGAGTGCATAATTTTTTTTTTCATACCAAAAGATCCATCAAACGCATTTGGTGTGTCATCATAGTGGTCTGTGACTTGTGGTCAGACGTGCTCAGGTGGAACAAACTTAAACTTGTGCCTTTTTTCAATGCTGAATTGAATGTCATTGAGAAAACAGAAAGGTGTCATCATGTTGTTGTTTTTTCGCAAACATCCTTTCAATTTTTTAAAAAGTCATACAAGAAGTAATCATCTAGTTTTTTTTTTTAAAGTAGGCTTTCTGTTATCTGATTACAATATTTTTGCTGGTAACGTTACTAATTACAGTTACAGTTTTTTCTAACCAGATTACATGTAATCAGTTACTCCCCAACCCTGATCAATAGGCATAGGCTACATGATGTTATTTCTCTCCAAATCAGGAGAAAAACATAGTTTCAAAAAAATTAAATAATCGAAGAAGTAATCATCCAGTTTTTTTAAGTAGGGTATCTGTTATCTGATTACTATATTTTTGCTGGTAATGCTACTAATTACAGTTACAGTTTTTTAAAAACCAGATTACAAATCTAAAATGGCGAGATAGCTTCTTGCTAGAACAATTATAAATTGAGATTTGGCCTTTCTCCCATGCAGCTGTCTGGTTCCTCAGCTCAGCGATGCGAGCAATGCAACCACTGCCAGCTGACGGCCGGCTCGACCTGCCCTGGGCCGGGGAGGATTGGGAATGGGAAGAGGGTCTGACTGAGTGAGTGTGTTTAGATAAATTACAATTGAGAGGACTTCACCGTCTACTCGGGACACTTTCACTTCCCCACGATTATGCTAGGCTATACCTTCAACCGCTTCCACCTCCGTAACAACTGAACTTGAGAGTCATGCATCAACAGATGTAAAATGTAGCCAATTGAGTTGGCATGAATTGACGATATTTTAAATTCGAATTTAGGCAAATTAAATGTAGTTTATCATTGCTGTGCGATAACTCGCTTTTGCAGGTGGGGATCGCCTAAAATGCATTTCACATTTGTTATTTATTTATTTCGAATGATATTTGGGCCTGTATTGGGAAAATCCTCAAAGGTTCATTGAAATATCGATTTCAATATTATATAAACAAAAGAAAGCAATTTTACCCACCCAAACATTGCCAATAAAGTTACTGTGGTGTTTTGGGCAGGAGACGCCTGTGTTAACATGAAGGGTCCTGTTAGCTGATGAAAATGTTTAAAAAAATGGTCCTGTACAAAGACGGATGAGGTGCTGATGTATATTACAATAACGCCATGTTTCTGCAACATAATGAACTGGAATGCGAGCGGTGCTCCCCTCCTGTCATGAAGCACACAGACCCATACACATTACATACCATGTCATGTCATCTGTTCTGCCCATAGCATACATAGCATACTCTGACGAAGACGAATTAGAGCAGGTTGCAGGCGCATATGTGTTTGTCTATATGTGAATTATGTGGAATATGTAGATGGATAATGTTAAGACTTTTGACAAGTAAAACATAAAACCCGTGAGAAGTGATCGGGGAATTAATGCAAGACATGTACATGGAATTCCATAGCTTGTGCTACCTTTCTCCTCTGAAAAGAAATAATGAAAGGCCATATTATTATTAAACATTGTTATTGTTTGTCGTAAAATTAGGCCTATCATTATTATTACACAGTAGTAGGCTAATTATATTATTTTATCATTCACGAAGGATTCTTTCCATGGAAAATTCATCCCATAGTCTCAATTCTGAAAAACATTGCTTCAATTGTAAAACTTGCACTGTGGATTTATAGAATATTCACCTGTCAGTCTCGGCTGTGAATTACTGGATCAGCTCCATGTTCCAATTGAATAATCAGAATATATATATCTATATCCATAAGTGAAACTTTGGAAATCTCCCTTTCGATAACATTTTCATTTAGGTTTCTATTCCCCTTAACTCTGAAAGGAGAGAAGTAAGAAGTTATACGTTTGTTTTTAGCCCAATGGACTCAATAATAATAATAATAATAATAATACAACTCATACAAATAATGCATAATAATAATAACACAATTATACTGTTTAAAACATATGTCTTGATTTGACTGGGTTAGGTAAACGTTATTATTATTTACAGTCAATAATAACGTTTACAATTATATTACAATGACTGTGAATTATCACTGGTTAATAGCACATGTGGTAATCAAAGTCAAAATGATAGGCTAATAATAACGTTGGATAATATTAGACCAAAACGCATAACGTCATAGAAAACAAAATAACCACTTCTTTAATTAACTGCAACGATAATAAACAGTTATTGGAGCACTGTTATATTGATTTAAAGCAATCGTGGATATTTGTATTGCATCTAAAGCCATTTTTGGTTTGTTTAGAAGGGTATGAGAGCGTGCATAATTGCAAATTGGAAAACGAAATATTTAGGATATTTTACACAACATTTTGAAATTGTGTAGGCTGTAATTTCAATCATGTTATAAATCAGATTCAAGTGAGAACTGAATTAATGCACTGACTAACAAACAAGTAAACAAATATGTTTTAGCCTTGAAATCCCTGTCCATAGATATGCAAATTATATGGTATTGGACCTGGACTGAGTTCTGTAGTCTATTTTTTATCCAATCATCTAACTCAGATTCTTAAGGATTGAACACTATGAGGTTTCAAAACCCCTGATACTGTACAAACGTCCATCCTTTTTGTATTTTGCTATAGCTACAATGCATTCCACAACCTAAAATCAATACTTTTGATGATATTCCATATTTAGAAGATGTGTGTGTGTAGTGGAGTATCGTTAACCCAAGAGAAGGTGTAAGGTAGTGCACTCACCATCTCCTCCCCGTGTCCGTCTTCCCTTCCCTTTTCCCTTTCCTTCAATTCCTGGTAACCGTGACATCGTGACCACGTGATTTGGACGGCTGAATAAATAGCTTTTGAGAGCTATGAATGGGAATAGTATGAAGCTCACGCAGGATACTTGCTCCCTGCCTGTGCGTAAAGATATTCATACAGATATGCAACAGTAAACTAACGACCTAAAACACAAATGAGTGCAAGAAAGAAAAATAATTATTGTATAAATGCTTGTAGTGGTCTTCAAGTAAATAGCTTGACTGAATTTTCCATTCCAGTTTTGTTTTCCTGCGCTTGAATTCAGAAGAGTTTCATCCTCGGTGAAAGACACCACAGCCCCAATGCCAACTGGTTGGAGTGGCGTTACACCTGGATCCAAGCTTAGTTTTGCTCTCTTCTAGATTCCAGTAATGTTTCTATGCAGCTCGGAGAAGTAAACAGGAGTTCGCTGTGGTCCTCGGAAGAGCGGTAGAGTGCTTTACGCACGGACTGATTACACCCAGCGTGGGAGCTGAAAAGACTCCGTACGGAACTAGAGGGAGGAAGAGAACCAGTCTCTCCAAGGATGACTCTAGGTACGGATATGTCCGACAACTCTGCGTTGTCTGAAGATGTGGACATAGATGTGGTTGGGGGAGACATCTCTGTTGGCAAGGATGGGAAATACCTTCATCACGATTTCCTGGACAATGACTCATACGATAATTTGTCTCAGAACGCGGGGGACAGGGGTTCCTCCCCCGGCCTCAGCAGCTCAGAGTGTCCGGCTGACCAGGTTGGAGTTGGTGGAGATTCAGTGGCCATGATAGGTGATAAGCCTGGTAAGAACGCTCTAGTCAAGCCCCCGTACTCCTACATAGCCCTGATAACCATGTCTATCCTCCAGAGTCCCAAGAAACGTCTCACTCTCAGCGAGATCTGTGAGTTCATCAGCAACAGATTCCCGTACTATCGGGAGAAATTCCCCGCGTGGCAAAACTCCATTCGTCACAATCTTTCTCTCAATGACTGCTTTGTCAAAATCCCACGTGAGCCTGGCAACCCCGGAAAAGGCAACTACTGGACCCTCGACCCGGAGTCCGCAGACATGTTCGACAACGGGAGTTTTTTACGCAGGAGGAAGCGCTTCAAGAGGCACCAAGCCAACGAAATCCTCAGGGACGCCGGGGGGTTCCTGCCCGGGTTCGGATACGGCCCTTATGGGTACAACTACGGACTCCAGCTGCAGAACTTCCATGCACATAACCCCTATCATCCGCACCTCCCAGCAGGCGCTTTCCCTTTCCAGAATACACCTTGTGGATTCCCCTCGTCAGCCTCAATATTCCCCACGCCACATCCCCTGCCCTCTCTATTAGGGGCTGACTTACGAAAGCCATTCTACCCTCAACTCAGCCCGACCTTGCCCGGCCTGGCGCCTCTCAAGACGGACACTAACACTCCAACTCGGCCCTCTTTCTCTATAGACAATATAATCGGTGCATCTAACTCCGTGGCCTCCCCGTACAGTGCACAGTCGGGCAGCCACAGCCACAGTCAGGCTCAGATCCTGGCCATGTTGAACCCTGCACTCGCCTCAGCTTCGAACCACTTGAACCTCTCGCAGGAAACAATGCTTCAGCCTGGCTCACATACATTCTCCAGCAAAACTACAAATCTTAACATTTGCCATTTCTAAACTGGCATTAAAAACAAAACTCGCAGAAATCCTATTAACCCATTACGGTTATGTCGTCTTATGTGAAGGTAGGATAAACATTCTTTGAGAAATAAGAGTGTTGCTCTTCCCCTTCTGTTTCTTAGAACTGATCGGAGAGAGGAAAGTGAAAAGGTGGCTATATTTATGGATTGTAAATATGTATAGGATACACTAAATGGAAGAAGTATGATTAAGTCAGAAAACAAATTCTAAGACAATGTTGAGTGTATTCATTTGCCTACATTGGCCTAGGCCCTCACCTATCGTGAGCGAAGATCCAGCTATTTTTAACGCAAGTTAAATGTCACGTATCTCACTGTGGGAAATATTTAATTGTTTCTTAACTATAATTGAGATTTTTATTATGGTTTATATTGTTTTATATATATTGTGTGCGTTGTGAAATAAAGCACTGTTAATAGGCTACCGAGACGCAAACTCAGGTTTTAATTGTTAGAAAGCACATTGAGACAAGGGGGGTTATTTAAACAAATCTAACCTTTCCCACTACCCCTCGTTCTTTTAACACCGGTGTTGTGGTGAATTAGTTTGATAGTGTTTCATGTTGTCAGTGGACAGATATGTGGTTTTGTTGTAAAGCGCATTACCTCTCATCCTGTTAAACTGTTGTGCTTTCCTTCCTATCTATTTCATTGAAATTAATCTGTGAAACGTATGTTATGTGTATAGACAGAGACACTTAATGTTCATAGGTCATTTTTTGTTGTAATGAAAAGAAGAATAAATGTTTGTGAATTTAAAAATACTTTCGTTAACTTGTTTATTGGAACGTTTAATTGGCCATGTGCCTGCACACATAGGTCTACTCAAAAATATGAATAACCATTAAAACTTCAAAGGCTAAAATCTCCCTAAGAAATAGAAAATATGCCTACGTTTTGATTTATACAGCTCGGAGGTCAAACTTAAATCTGTATGTGTAGGCCCAGTTTGAACGCTATATGCAGGTCTTTGATAGACCTATTACAAGCGGCTTTCTGAAACGATTATGAGCATACATGGTCATTTACACAATAGTGTCATAGGTTTAAATCTCAGTTAAATATTGCGTGCAAGCTGTAGCAATTATAGGAGCATTTATTACTAGTCTATTATCAATAAAAAAATAAAAAAAATAGCCCATTTATCTACCTATATTCCACTACAGCCAACAAGTGTTTAGATCCAGATTTGTGATGTCTGAACTCCCACATTTTGCTGTGAGATATATTCTGGAAGAGTGGGCATGTATTCATTCCTTTTATGTGGCTCTCAGGGCGTTTATAATGGACTCGTTTTTTGGCAAGTAACAATGGGCTAAATGAATGGGAACATCGGGGTTTTGGAGGCCTGTAATTGAATGTGAACGTTCTACATGGATACCCACGATCTCTTGGGGTTTCGTTGCTAATTTGTAGCAGCATTTTTCATCAGGATCCTAATCCACGATAATGCGGCTTTTTGCCCGTTTGTTGATGTTGTCACTGAAGACCCAGTGCCTAGAGGCTCAATGTGCCCCCAGCGAGTGTTCCTCTCGGAGACAAGCCACACACATTTGCCTCTGAAAAGCGATCTTCTCAAAAGGCGCGCGGTTGTCCGCTTTCATGTCGTCTGTGTTGTCTCCGGACAGATAGAAAGGAGGCAGCCGGACAGGACTCGGCCCAGTGCAGAAAACAGACCGATTATTCCATTTCGAAGTTGGCCAAGCACATGTTCCGAGGCAGAGGGGGGTGTAAAAAGCCTCTTTTATTTACCAGATATGTGTGCAAATGGTTAAATTACTCGGTGGGGTGTTTTTGACAGTTGATTATTAGGGATAAAGAGTGGGAGGGCTGACTCCCCGCTTCCACTTTCCCCTTCAGCTAACCCAAAGCCTTTGAATAGAACGCAAACATGATAGTCATACTTTTATGAAGTCTCTGGCACTCCTTTTGTTGGTGTCGTGTTAATGAAAGCCCTTAGAGTATACATTTTATATGACCTTCTTTAATTTAATTTTTTGTGTCATAGTGCAACTTCAGAAAACGAATTAAACCAAATCCGTTTTGACAGTAGAGAGGGGAAGCTCACTTTAAGCATGGTGCCAAAAATCGCCCTAAACTTTCCTGTGAAATTAGGCTGTCTAAAATTGACTCAATTAATACTCTTCCATTATGACAAATACTTCTAGATAAAGACACATATTGCTAAACCGTCACGTAGCCTATCGCTAAACCACCACACACACACACATACACACACACACACACACATACAACTTTGATCATGCAGTGACAAGGTAAGATTGTTGTTTTAGCTGATATTATATCGGCCTATGGGCTATCTCTGTCAAACGTAGATAACAGGCCTGCACCCCCCTGTTCACCCTATGGCTATATTGAATTTGTTAGTTATTGTATCAAATATTATATTCAATATAGTTTTGAGTCAAATATTCACTATAACACATGGACATGAAGGGATTAATTGCATGCACCACTGTCGATAGCCTCCGCCAACACAGGCTGCTGTAATCCAAACAGGACTGGGCCTCGTTTCCCCAGCCCAGAGCCTTCGTAGCATTAAGATCATCATTAGAACCTTCTTACGATGTATCTTTAGTAGCCGAGCTGTTTTCCAGAGCCTTCGTTAGTAACGTGGCTCTTAAAAACCTTTGCACATGTACGAGTGATACAGACCACTCGTAGAGAAGCCAAAGTGCATAGTTAGATGCCTTTTAGCCCTTCCACGTCACTTTATTCACAGAAGATCTCCGCTAAACATATAATAATTAAGATCTGTCTGGGTGTGACTGCGGATAACTTCAAAACGAAGTTGACTACAAATACAAAGTTGCCAAAGTATTTTCAATTGTTACAAACAAGTGAATTATAAAAATGATGCTTCAAATGAAAACCGAGATAACTGAATTAAAAGATACATAGGCCTATAGACTATTTCAATCATATGTTCAATTGAGTTCTATTTTGCGACTAGGTTACTGTCTGTCAGTTTTGCCTAAATGTGTTTCATGATGTGTGACAACATGTGTGCAATGATGTGCCCAATCTGTGATTTAGTTAATGTAAAGTAATGTAATACGCCGCCTCAATAGCCTATTTGCAGCCATATGTGGTAATATCTCTCTAGGAGCTGATCCTTTGTCAGTAGGCTATTGTGGAATAATTATAATGTTAAGGTAAGATTTGAATGGAGAAAGCTGATCCGAGAGCAGCCTTGCTTTTCTTTGGATGGTTTCAGTATCGACACATGGTTTAAAGACGCACGTAGCGAACCTTCTCTCTACGTGCTTGTTTGGGAAACACTATTAAAAAGTTGTCTCGTAAATAATAATGCATCTAGGCCTGCTGTCCTGGGAACGATCATCGTAATGCTTAAAGTGACCCACAATACATATAACAAATTGATTACTAATAAGACGTCTTGCACGGGTCACAAATCACACAAACGTCCTTTTATCCAATTCTATGCAAGGCAACTGGTTATCGTCTTTATAGCATGTTCATTCTGCTATTCATTTTTTCAACATGCGGTGTACTTGTCACAGGAGGACCACCCACAGTCTCGGGACAGAATGTGTTTATTTGTCTCTGCAACAGTCGTCTGTCCGACAATTATAGACTTGCGTCTTGGCTCACTCAAATTTGTTTGAAATGCTTTGAGTATATTTTAAACATGACAACAAGATGACTAGGCCTACTCCTCGCCTTTCTGAATGGAAGAAATATAGCCTATGCTTTGACATGGAGTGGCGCAGCGGTCTAAGGCACTGCATCTCAGTGCTTGAGGCGTCACTACAGACCCTCTGGTTCGATTCCAGACTGTATCACAACCAGCCGTGATTGGGAGTCCCATAGGGCAGCGCACAATTAGCCCAGCGTCGTCCGGGTTTGGCCGGTGTAGGCCGTCACTGTAAATAAGAATTTGTTCTTAACTGACTTGCCTAGTAAAATTAAAAAATGTTTTGCTTTTGATTGGCATATTTCGCTCACTATGGCACCGCACCAGTTTCCTTGATCGAAGTGTGCTGTCGATAGTTCTGCTCCTATTAAATTCGGCTACTGTAACAGGATAAATACAAATGTCTTTGATTATGGCAAAGTAGATTAGATTATACATTTTTATTTTGTTTTATTGAATATCTTTAAAATATTTAGTTTTAGTAAACCTGTTAGGCTATGACTTGACCTAACTCTACAATATCATTTGTGCGCGTGTCAGTATGCTCCAAACCATCGCATCATCACTTTTCCTTGGCGCGCGGGCAGGGGATTACATGAAATCGTTGTGCTTAAACCATCCATATCCTACTCTCGCTCATATGCTAATTACACCACCAGTCAATTTGTCACTGCTAGTTGCGCTGTGAAACACTAACGACTTCTTAATTAGGGGAATCCAGATGTGTATCGCAAATTCTAATGCCTTGAGAGAAGGTCATATTATCTAGTCATTGAAATGGGTAGCTATCAAGGTAGCTACTGCTCGACAACGCCCAGTTTGGAAAATGAAATTTATGCTGTAAGTGTTTATTTTATTTTTTACTGCAGGCCTAATGACATATTCCGAGGAGTCAGGGAAATTATACACCATTATAGGGGGAGAATGGTGAATATTGAAAACGGGTATAGGGCATTAATAGCCTACTTGTTCAAAATATGAATAGCCTCTACATTTACAAAAACAACAATGTTATAAGCTATAATTTTCAGATGATAAAACGTTATAATAAAACATCAACAAATATTATTAGTAGTATTATTAGTATTAGGCCTATATTCATAACGTCGGTTTTCTTTTATTAATGTAAGCATCTGTCAAATAAATAGATATACAGGGAGTTGCATATAATAGCCCATAATGTCAAAGGGTAATCCTATTATTTTGTGTTTTAAACCTACGTTGATAAAAGCCTATGCATAAACAAGGTATGCATTTTCTATCATGTCTTGAAATGTATCATATAAGCAACCATCTTT